AAGAAAACAATAATCCCATCTCCAGTAGAGAATTGGAAGTGGAATCATTTGAATTTTAAGGTTTTTTTTTTTTTTTTTTTTTTTTTTTTTTTTTTTCTTTTCGAGACAGGGTTTCTCTGTGTAGCTTTGGAGCCTATCCTGACACTTGCTCTGGAGACCAGGCTGGCCTCGAACTCACAGAGATATGCCTGCCTCTGCCTTCTGAGTGCTGGGATTAAAGGTTGTGTGCCACCATGCTGAGCAAATTTTATTTTTTTTTGTCTTTTTAAGGTAAAAAATGCTTTATTAGTCATGTGTGAAAAAGACAAAAGAACTTTGCTGAACATTTTTCTTAAGACTGGGAGGGGAACTACTCTAATTTTAATTTTTAATCAATATGTATGTGTGTTTCTGAGTGGCAGGTTTATGAACAGATGGCTGGGTCTGGGAAAGCATACAATAGGGTATCAGGTTCCCTGGAACTGGAGGTACAGGCAGCTGTGAGCTGTCTGAAGTGGGGTCTGGGAATCACACTTGGGTTCTCTGCACATTCAGCCCATGTTTTTTGTTTATTTTTTTTTTGAAACAGGGTTTCTCCCTGCCTTTGGAGGGTGTCAAGTGCTATGCTAGGAGGAAAATAACTCATTTTTTTATTCAAGTATTACTCTTTTTGTTTGCTTGTTTTTTGTTTTTCGAGTCAGGATTTCTCTGTGGTTTTGGAGGCTGTCCTGGAATTAGCTCTTGCAGACCAGGCTGGTCTCAACTCACAGAGATCCGCCTGCCTCTGCCTCCCGAGTGCTGGGATTAAAGGCGTGTGCCACCACTGCCGGGCTAGCAGTATGCTTTTCTAAGTACCCATCTGTCCTTATCCCAATATGCTCAGTGTGGGTCGAAGAGTCTTAGTACAAAGGAAATTTCCTGGGCTAATTTTCAGTATTTTAGTAAGTGTGGTAGAATGATCTACAGAAGCATCTCTACAGGGGGCCAGGAGTGGTGGCACACACCTTTAACACCAGCACTTGGCACTAAAAGATCTGCAGAGGCAGATGGATCTCTGTGAATTTAAGGCCAGCCTGATCGACAAAGTGAGTTCTATAGACTGTTACACAGAGAAACCCTGCCTCAAACTGCACCCCCTAATACAGCATGACAGAAACATTTGATTTTAATTGGCATGATACCTATCATCTCACAAAGTTCTGAAGGCTGCCTATCTTTTGGTTAAAAGAAATGCCACAGCACAATGAGTTACACACCCCATTTTAAACAAGCCAGCCAAGAGTGTCTTGCACACCTACAATCCACGATTAAGGAGACTGAGGCAGGAGGAACTCAAACCCATCATAAGCTACATGGGGAAATTGGGCTCAAACAAAATACAATGTATAGAAAAAGTAAACTCAAGTGCTCTGGTGGAAACCACAGCACTCAAATTTCTTTCACTAAGTTTGTAAACAAAACAAAACAAACAAAAAACCCCCAAAAGCAGGCAAGCAACCAACCATCACAGAACCCTACAGATAGGGGTGGTAGTGCACACCTGTAATCCAAGTAGTCACGGTCAGTCTGGGTTACACATTTAGAGTGTCTCAAAAAGCTAGTTCTACAACAGCAAGGGATACATAGAGAAACCCTGTCTCAAAAAACAAAAACAAAAACAAAAAAGGTGCTTGCTACTGCAGAGGACCTGGGTTCAGTTCCTTGGTCCCACAAGGTGTTTTTACAAGTGTGCGTAATTTTAATTCCAGGGGATCCAATGCTCTCTTCTGGCCTCCATAGGCACCACACATAGGTACTGCAGACATACATACAGGAAAAATACACAAAGTCCACTTCTTTTGGTATGTATACATATATGCACACACATACAACCTGAGTACCTCAGGATCCAAGGACAATCAGAAATCACTGTCAATATCCAAGGAAAGATCTTCCCTACGAACAAATACCCACTGATTGGCTGGTGTTGGTGGTGCAAGCCTTTAATCCCAGAACTTGGGAGGCAGAGGCAGTTGGATCTCTGTGAGTTCCAGGCCAGCCTGGTCTACAGAGCGAGTTCCAGTATAGGCTCCGAAACAATACAGAAAAACCCTCTCAAAAAACCAAAACCAAAAAACAAAACAAAAATACCCGCTGATCTCCTGAGAGAAGTGGGTCCACTGTGGCCAATTCTACTTCCCTACAAGCCAACAAACCAAGAGTATTAAAGAACACTGGCCAGTCTTTCTCTGAAAACCTAGGCCTCAGATAAGCCTAATAGGTTAGTAGGAGTTTCATGTTTATTTTTTCAGGGTTTCTCTGTGTAGCTTTGGAGCCTGTCCTGACACTCGCTCTGGAGACCAGGCTGGCCTCGAACTCACAGAAATCCGCCTGCCTCTGCCTCTCAAGTGCTCGGATTAAAGGTGTGTGCCACCAACGCCCGGTTTAGGAGTTTCATGTTTAAGATTCCAAAAATGTCAGGTAACTGCCCTGCCTTGAAAACCATGGGATTAATGAAGTGTGAGAAGGACCTTTGGTAGGGCTGTCACTCTTTTCTCACTAAATCACACTAACACACACTCCCTGTGTGTATGCACTTGTGCATATGTGTCCAAGGCCAGAGCCATTGGAACTGGTGGAGGTGGAGTTCCAGGTAACCCCAACAGCCTAACCCGGGTGCTGAATTCAGGTCCTCTCTAAGAGCAGCACTTGTTCTTAATCACTGATCCTACCTCCAGTTTCAAGACTTTTGACTTGTGTTAGTTTTTGAGAAACCAGAATCTCGTACATTTCATCTGAAATTTCTTAACCTGAAGTAACATGCTGAGTATGCCTTTTCAAAGCTGTCTTAGCACTTAAGAACATGCCTCTTCAAATGACTTTGAGCCCTGATAAGAGGAAGCGCGGTTAAATCATTATTGGAATAGCACAAAGAATCTATTTTCACTGTTGAGTATTACGCTAGAAATACCCCAGACCAACAATCACATCTTGTAGTTTTCAGTGACCAAGAAGTCATGCTGCATCCTTACTTTTTATGAAACCAAATCATGCTAAAAATCCAATTTCCAATTTGGCCATTTTAAAGAATAATATAAAATCCCAACTGATCCCTTTTTTTTTCTTTTAGGAATACATTTTCAAACGCTTGCAAAAAAAAGGCCATATAGAGGTTGTGTTGTTAAAAAAGTTGAGACCTGGGCTGGAGAGATGGCTCTTCTGGAGTTCTTGGGTTCAAGTCTCAGCAAACACACAGGAGCTTACTACCATATAATGAATGGGATCTGGTGCCCTCTTCTGTTGTGGAAGAATACATGCAGATAGAACACTCAAACAACAAAAGTTAACAGCCAGGCAGTGGTGGCACATGCCTTTAATCCCAGCACTTGGGAGGCAGAGGCAAGTGGTCTCTGAGTTCAAGGCCAGACTGGTCTACAAAGCAAGTTACAGGACAGCCACAGATGTTACAAAGAAACCCTATCTCAAACATTGGGGGAAAAAAAGTTGAGACCACAGGTGACATTAGGACAAGGTTTGAAGTTTTTTTCTTCATTAGTTTTCTAATACTGTTCAACACTTTTAACAAATCCATGACATGTATACACACACATTTTGTGTTTTGACTATGTGGTGAGTGTGCTCTCATGTTGGGAGGGCTGAGGCTGTCATGTCTTTCCTCGATTGCTTTCCCCTTAAAAAATTTCATATACTATGACAGTTATGTCGAGGGTGGTTTTGTAGAGTCAGTTCTCTAGGTAACTGGTGCCTTTAAGGGGCAGAGCCATTCTACCAGCCTGTCCAACTGTGCTTTTTGAAATTTTATCAACATTCTTACTCTGATTCTTAGTAAACCATCTCGGTGATCTTTGTATTTCCTTAAAGTCATACATAAAGACTTAACTGAAATTTTATTTTAAAAAGACTTTATTCATTTTGATCAGGGAAAAATGACAATCTCAATGTTAACTTGTCACCTAATTGTAAGCTTGAACTCACAGGTATTTCTTATTCTGGATATTGTACCAACTAACAATGTGAAATGGTCTCCCTTCTATTGTCTTGGCTGTAAGTTGAAACAAACAATTCTTTTTAATAGTCAACACTGGTACTTGGCCATAGTAAAATGAGGCCAATGCATTACAACTTGATAGCCTAGCAAGTACAAATATTATCGAACAAAGTTGTAGGCATTTTAAAAAAAGGTTATCAGTATAAAAAGCTCACACTGGTCTTCTAAGACCAAGCACTCTAATCTTTAACGTATCCCAAACCTAGAAGTGTCTGTGGAACCACAGAAATCCCCTTTCTAAGTCCAAGTATTCAATGGAAAACTCAAAGGTTGTATTACCTTACAATCCTAAAAAAAGGTTTTAATGCCCCAAAAGATAGACCACTTTTCCACTGCCTCAATAGAGAACTGCTTAAATCTACTCCGTTCATGCACTATGATGGGATGGATGCTCTAGTGTTAACTTCCTTAAAAACTCACCCCACTGCACCCAAACTTCAGGACAATCCCATACATATCTGATAATGCCCTTAACTATGAGTTTGATAGCATCCTTACCTTGCATTTATCTATGGTACTAAAAACCCAACAGCATGGTGATCAGCTAAAGCCTTTTTTTTTTTTTTTTAGCAGACAAGCCATTAACCGTTAAAAGCCATTATACATGGTTTGTCAGAGGAACAAAGCAAAGATAGCCAATTAACAACTTTGTGCTGCCAACAGGCCTTCCATTTTCAGTGTCAGCGAGGCAGTCCTAGCCCAGCCAAGATGCTTTCCTTAGGAAGTCTGAAAGTACAGCTCACACTAGAAAGCTTTACCAATCACAACAGACTGCAGTGTCAGTCTCCAGATAACCCCGGCAAACATTATTCAAAAGTTGCGGAATGAATATCACGTAGCAAAGAGACCAGGAACAAGGGGACAGACACTAGGACCAGTTTAGTTTCTTCCTGTGGACCAATACCCCCTACAAAACAAGCTGTGCCTTAATTATTGCTTCTTTATAAAATTACATTTCCACAGAACTATGTAGTACCTGACGCAGAAAAACAATCACATAAGGAAGCATTTATTTGAGGTTTAACATGAATCATACAAATAAAAATTTGTATAAACACAAATCCACATTGAGTCAATACACAGATAGCAAAGGACAAAGTAAAAACAAAGAAACTAATTGGCAGCTATATACAGTTGGACACAATTGTGTCATGTACACTAGAAAGTCTTTTACAAAATAATCATCTTAGGTCAACAGAAGATCAAGCAATCTTCAATGTCTGTCCTGTAAGATGGTTTTCTTTACACCCCCTAAAACAAAAACAAAACAACTGTTAGATGTGTGCAATCCTCACAAGCTTGCAAAGGTCCACTTTCATGAATTGTTTTAAGTCCTCACTTTATTCTTTTCTTCAATAATTAAAGATCACATGCATATTCAGTGACAAAATGTAGTTTGAGTATTTGAAAAAAATCATGTGGAGTTCCCAAATGATATTAAGTGGATTTACTTTCGAACACAGGAATGCAATCTTCCCATAGTTACAAGCCTAGCAGATGAAGGCCAACTAGAAGCATAGCTCTAGTAAGCCAATAGAATGCTATCACCAACACAAATTTCAGGCAGGTTTATATTATCAAAACGACAACGAATTGCTTTGTGCATATGATCTTTAACTTATATCCCAGATTTAAAAGTTCTTGTTTTGCTTTGTAGATTTCACTATTAGCTATAAAAAGAAAAAGCAAGCATTAAATCTTAAAGAATGGACACTTAAATGAGGCTCCACAATTGAAATACAACACTAAACAGAAGACCAAAATGATTAAGCTGTAAAAAGGCATTTATGTACTTTAACTCCTGCAAAAAACCATTTAAGTTAAGTTTAGACACTTAATCTCCAAAAAGATTAAAAAGAAGCCAAAGTCTGAAGTTTTCCACTTTAATCTTTACGCTGGTACATGAAGTTGGAAGAGACCATACCACAGGACAGCGTTTTCTGGTGTATGCCTTGCGCTCTGCCCGCAACGTGCGACCCCCAGAGATAGACGTGGTCAGGGTGACACACGGCCTGCAATGAAGTTCCCGCTGGCGGGTACAAACAAGGTATAATGTCAGAGTTAGAAGACAACATTCTTGTTTTCCTTAAGTTGTACCCATTTCAGTACTTTACCTGTTATAGTTCTAAAAAAAGTTTAAACCTCCTGGTACACAAAGCAAACAGAAAAACTCTTAAGTTTTTCTGTAATTCTAAAAAAGGTGAGGTAAGACTTTAAAGTTAAAGATCTATAGACACTTTAGGCAAAACAGGCTCATAAAGCAATTAAAAATTAACAATTTAGTAAAGACTACACAGTATTTTGTTTACTCGTCTTTTCATTTGTCTATTGATCTTTAAATTAAATCAGACACTGCCAATGTTTTCTTGTAAGCTCACACACCTGCTTTTTCCCATGTCCTCCTTAGTAGGGCTGGTAATTGTTCTGGTGATTGCCACCCCCTCTGGATGCCTTGCCATAAGTGCTCTGTTGACCTAGTTTGAAAGGATACAAGTTTTACTAAGCAAGTTTCCTGTAAAACTGCCTTCTTAAACATAAAAAAAATCTACAATGTGTAAAACTATGCATGCTGAACATTAAAATATCAAGCCATCTTAACAGCCAAGAGTTGTAAATTGTACTTTAAACAACAATCACTGTCTGTTACTTTCCTATGACTACACAATATGACTTAACTCCAAACATCAATAGGAAACTCATACACACATACAACTTCAGAATGGGAAAGTACTTCAAAACTGATTTTAATACCACTGGTTTATAAAATTAAGTTAAGTATTCTTACCGCTGTAGTCTGCATATCCCTGTCCATATCCATAGTTCCCATAGTTATACCCAGTATAATCATATCCGCCATAGCCACTATAGTTTTGATCACCACCATAGGCACTATTATAATTTCCATATCCTTGATCATAATAGTTATTAAATCCTTGGTTCCAGTTTTGGCCCTGACCTGAAACAATGCACAATGATTGTTAGGAAACCACTTTGGACTTTCCCGATCCTAACACAAAATGATTCATTCTTGTCCCCTACACTGTACTTACTAAAAACAAAACAAAAACCTCCCCACGAACCAGCCTTTACCATGTGGGGTCATTTTTAAGTTTCCATCTAGCTGTGTTCTCCTATGGGCCATTTTACCTAGCAGCTTACTGTTACAGTTTAAAAACCACTATTTCCCCGTCAAGTCTCACCTCTTCCACGTCCCCTCGTACCACCTCTTCCACCAGCCGCTCCACCTCTGCCACCTTTTTGTTGTTGCTGTTGCTGCCTGTATACCTCTTTGGGTTGTGCAACTTTGATTTCACACTAAAAACAAACAGAATTTTTGCATGTTCTAAGCTCTGAACACAAAAGTGGCTTTCTTTTCAAACAGGGTTTCCACATACACACTTCTCTTAATGGAATTCAATCTATTTACCTTCCCAGAACCTATTTGATGGTATCTGCTTTCTAATAATTTCTTTACTGGCTCTTCGTCTGTGTATGTGATAAAACAGAATCCTCTTCTTTCATTTGTTTTTGTATCCATGGGGAGCTCAATATTCTCTATCTGCAACCAGGTGCATTCAAAACAAACAAAACCACCCATTAGTGCAAGTGTACAGACTTCACAAACACACTCTACAGACCACTACTGTCTAAAAAGTCGAGTTATATTCTTTTACAGTGTCTTCTACCCCAGAGAGGCCACCAGTTGGTAAAACTTGCACCACTTTAATCCCTTGGGCTTTGGCTAGACCAGATTAGATACTGGTTTCCACCATGGCACAGAAAGTAGCAATTAAGATGCAAAACCATAAGGCACCCAAGAAGTAATTCAGGCCCATCTTGTGAAATACTAATGAACCCTACACAAACTTGAGCATTTCAAAAACACATTTATACAAACACAGCCCACCTCTCCAAAGGCTCCAAAGTATTCCTTAATTTGTTCTTCTGAAGTGTCTGGACTCAATCCACCCACAAAAACCTTTTTAGGGGGTTCTTTTCCCTTTAAAGCTTTGGCCCTTTTGGGGTCTATCAATTTGCCATCCAGTTTGTGTTCCTTCAGTTCCAAAACCTAGAAGACAAGTTAGACAGGAACTTAGAAGCCTATAGCAATTTGCAAGCAACACAAAAGCACAGTGCAAAACACACCCATACCTTATCCACACTAGCAGCATCTTTGAAAAGCACAAATCCAAATCCTCTTGATCTTCCAGTGACTGGATCTGTCTTAATTGTGCAGTCTACAACTTCCCCAAATCGAGACAAATACTCAGTCAGATCTTTCTTGCTTGTATCCCAGCTCAAGCCTCCAATAAACATTTTACTAGAAATAAAGTCATTTAAAAAAAAAAGAGACTTAACAGTAACTTAGTGATTACTTCAACCCTGTAATTAAACAATACAGTAGGTGCATGCAATCCGCTTTGATTACAAACACTAACAGACCACAAAAACCAGCTCAAACAAAAACTTGCTCAAACAAACCAGCAGACAGGTTGCTGTCTACAGTGCAAACACAAAACTTTATAAAAGGCCAACGAAGTCTGGTAGAGATTCGGCTCCGACTACTTTGGTTTGCAAAAACACAACTTGAACACCGAATCCGCCCCCTCCCTCCCCGACAACTTAAGTGAACTTTCATCCATAGCTCTCAAGTCAACTTGCTACCTACGGAACTCTTGGTACCAGCCGGCTACTGGTGCCCAAACCAAGTTTCCCAAACGTCCCCCGGAAAAAGTCGCCCCAGCAACAGCAACAATAACAACACAAGACACACAATGAAGAGGCGGCGGCAGCTGCAGCATGTGGCGCACCGAGCCCGGCCCCTCCCCCCCGCGGCGCCTGCG